GCGGCCCGTCAAAACGGTCGCTTTGAAATTGCTCGGGCGTGTGTGAAACCCGCCACCCCAAAAACCTGCAGTGTCTTGTGTCTGGACCTCTAGGTCCTGTCTGGTGGGGTGAAACGACACTGAAAAATCACCCCGTTATTTTTTCAGGGGCTGCCAGGATCCGAAAAACGTCCTGGGCCGCCCCTTTTTTTTTCGATTTTTGCCGTGGGGGCCTCCATCCAGACATCATGGACCGGACACCGGACCCGGACATGTTGTTCCGGACTGTCTGGAACCCGGTCCGGACGTCCGGTCGGTTACCATGGGATTTATCCACTTTTTTCTTTTTCTTTCTTTTTCCACAACATCTTATCGACCTCTTATATCCACCTCACATCCAGCTACCGTCTTCCCTGGAGTAGAATGCATGGTCGTTATGCCTGTATTTTGGACAAGTTTCAGCCTAGATACAGTGATAATGACCCTCAAAAGAGTTGAATACAGTGAATTTTCAGTTCTATTCGGGGGGACGACGGTAGTAGCTCCCTGTAGGCCCCCGTGCCTTTCACTCGTGCATTTCTCATTCACACGCTGACATTCTTGAAGAAGCTGCAGAGTCAATGATCCCTGTGATGAAATGATTTCAGAGTTCGAAAGGACTTGAGACTCGTCGAAACTCGTCGAGAGTCTTTTCCACTTTAGGCACACGGCAGCTCTGTGTTCCGATTCCTGGTGTGATGAAAAGCACGACGCTTTCTTTTTGCATTGGAAAGTTTGTCTAACTTTCAAAAAAAAAAAAAAAAAAGAGAACGTTCCCCCCCCCCCCTTTTCTGATCGGCGCAATCGGGCTATTCTTCGTATAGTTGAATGACTGACGATCGTTGTTATTATTGCTGTTTTGTGTCGTCTTTTGCCTGGCGGTCGCTGTGGTGTTGTTTTCTTCCGGTTGTGCTTTTGCCTGTCGGTCTGCAGGACAGATCCTAGCCATGGGAACAGTGCGGTGAACTTAGCGCAACTTTGTCCCGTAAAGAAGTGAGCATCAAGACAGAGCCCTCCATCCTGTTTAATTAGCCCCCCCTTTTTTTTTTCCCTTTCAGACCTTTCTGAGGTTTTTCCTTTTCTTTTGTCCTTCTTCCTGGAAACGGTTGAGCAACCTCTCAGAAAGGCATTTCTCTTGAAAGTTGAAAACCCACCGACCGCCGACCCCTACCGCCGACCGTATTGCAGCCGACCAGGAGGGCCGGCCGGTCGGCGGTCTGCCGACCAGTCAGAAAACAGCCGTCCAATGCATGTACGTTATGGGCGTTTTGAGATCATCCTCGCTTGGTCAGAACTGACGGTTTCCATGAGAGAAAGTCAGTCCATCATGGGGGCCGGGGGAGCCACGGATCGAAAATTCGAAGTAGATAATAGCATCCTGATGAGTCGGTGAGACTCCGATGAAACAGTTTGTCACAGCCCCTCGTTTGTTGTCCTCTTCTCCCTCTTGTCCCTCTCTGCCACCTACGGTTTACCGGGCAGCTCTGTTTGACGATATATATAATTAATGAATATTAAATAATTTAAACTCTCAAATGGTTCGGGGCGGAAAAAAAAAAAAAAATTATCAAAATCTACCCAAAAGGACAGGAGACCTGTCCAGATTCGACAGGTAATTGAATTGGTTGGGCTTAAGGAATTAGCCTTAAAAAMAARAARAARAARAAGAAGAARAAAAAAAAAAAAAAAAAAAAAARGAAGGTTATGAAAGCTTACTTGAGATTAAAAAACAAAATCTCAAATGCTCCAGAGAGGTCTAGACTGTAGAGTTTGATTTCGAGTGAACTGGACTTGCGAGGAGGGAGGGGTACTGGGAATGAAAGTTTCCAGCAGGGCTCAGAAATGGATGGGAGGCCGGTTGGGGGATGGGAGGGGTATTGGAGGGGTATGGCCGGACTCAAAGAGGGTTAGAACAGGACTGCCGGGGGTGGGTTGGGGGGCGGCGGCGGCGCGGGGAGGGATAGGAGCAAGCACATGTCTTAATGAAGAAATTCAGAAAGGGGTATCGCAGGGCTCAAAAGGGGTATGAGGGGGCTGAAGGGGGATGGGGAAATGGTTATCCCTCTTTTTATTCCAGCAGTGGCCTCTTTTTTCAGTCATTCAAGGGTTGAGGTTCGCTTAAGCTTGGAAAGAGGGGGGAAAGAAGGGGGGGGGAGGGAAGGGGGGGAATGCCATTCTTAAACCGCCAATACCTTTCAGAGGTGAAGGCAAAGTCATGAATATAACCTTCATCCCCCCTCCTTCCTTCCCCCCCCCCCCCCCCCCCCCCCTTTTCGCATTCATTAGAGGCTGGGCACCACCGGACCAAAATGGCTGGCGGCAGCAGGCAAAACAAAAAAAGAATGGTCGTGCTGGCGCTTCAGTAGAGCTTGGCGTGCAGTTGTACTCCGCCTCGGTAAAAGAGGCTCGGGGGGTAGTTGTGGTTGAAGGAAGATATTAGAAAAGAGGACAGAATGACGTATGAAGGGAAATAGAAAAGTCCAAAATAGTGACCATTCTGACGAATGGATGAATCATAAATGAACGAGTGTAATGGAAATGCAAAATGCGGAATAAAGAAAATAGGAAAAAACTAAGCATGGAGTACTCTTTAAAAAAAAAAAAAAAGGAGGTACGACTGTTATGATCCAGGCTATCGCGCAGTGCAACAACTCACAGAAAGACAATGCTCAGTTCAATTGCAACTGAACGGCATTGTCTTCCCGAGACGATCAATGAAAAATGATCTTGGCAAAAAGAAATAGAAAAAAAAAAACAAAAGAAAAAGGAAAGAAATGGAAGGAGGAGGAAGAAGAAGATGATGACTCAGCTACAAGTCATGCACTGTTACATACTGCATTCCACACGGGCCCTTTCAGACCCGACGACTAGGCTGAGGGGTTCCGAGGGCCTGGACGCGATAGTCCAGGCCAGGCCGGCCCAAAGGCCGGACCTTTTTTTAGGCCGCCCCTTTGGCCTTGCGCAATTGGTTCCAGACCGCCGTTTAGGCAGCCTAAACGGCGGCCCTGCAGCCCCAGGCCCTGGGCAGGAAATGGCCAAACGTTTTCGTTTGGACCAGGCCGCCGTTTAGGCAGCCTGTTTTCCCGAAAACCGGTCCGACCTGAACCACGGATCGGACGATAGATCCGACGGTTCAGATCAGAGGCCACCTTCGGATGCAGAGGCCGAACTGGCCGCCGGCCGGTATTTAGGCCCAGCCAACAGCCATTTCCAGGAGGAGAGTGTGGCAGCACTGAGGAGCGAAACGCTGCACTACTTCTGTTCCAACGCAGCGCTAGACAGCCGCGCTAGGTGTAGCGCTGGCTGTGGAGAGAGAGAGAGAGCGAGGAGGGAGACTTACCTGACAGCCACCGCGAGCACCATAGCTCCCAGCGGCACAGCCATCTCCAACAGCAAGGCGCCACCTTTCATCATCAGGTAGGGCCTAGGGCTCCTCGCCATCTCCACCGATGCTCTGCCCCTCTCAGGTCTTCTTCTTCTTCTTCTTCTTCTTCTTCTTCTTCTTCTTCTTCTTCTTCTCCTTCTCCTTCTTCTCCACCCCCCCCTTCTTCCTCTTCTTCAGATGAGAGACTTTGGGTACGAGATGGACAGAGATCAGTGATTGGACTTTGGTGGTAGGAGGATGTGATACTTACCGGATTCGAGACATTGGAGATCTTTGGGATTGATACCTGGCGGCATCACATATCGGACATCGGTTACATTAGGATTCTGTACGTCTGACATTGGTGACTAATGTCTACGACATTCTGATTTGTTCGATGACATTTTGGGCTACTATATCAGTGACATTTGGGATTCCATTTTGGTGACATCTGGCGCTGTCCCTATCTCCCACCTCCATCGTCTCTCCTCCCACCATTCATCTGTCTATGGGTGTACGGGGCTGAAGCATCGTCTATGTATGGCTTCAGACCCGACCATCTCACGATTGTTTGTGTGTTGAGTGATGTCTAGGTGGGTTCAGTCTATGTGAGTCAGTCCGTATCTCAGACTTCCACTGCGTATATGTTCATCCTATATTGGTTGATCTTTGGTTCTGCCCATACTTGGTGAAGTTATTCACTAGTATGCAACATCCACGCACTCGTACTTAGAAAGGATGTAATTTCCAATGTACTTTGAAATCTGTGCACAATACGGGAATCTCAGGAAGTCGGTCATTTTAGTTTTGATCATAACTCAGAATACAGCAAGGAGGCTGAAAGGGTCTCGCAGAATGTCATTTCTTTTTGCAGGTCATTACACGAAAACACTAAAACACTGAAAAATTGTGAAAAGAATAAAATTACGGAAATAGTAAAATTTAAATGTTAAATAGTGACAAATGAAGTTGAATTTGTCCGTCTCTGGTGGTCTTTTGTTCGTTCTCGAACGTTTTGTCTGTCTGATGACTCTGTTTTGCCTATGAAAAAGAAAATTGTATTTTCTTTTTGAAAAATAAATAAATTAAAAGAACTTAAAAAAGGATGCTTTTTGCCTGTCTGACAGTGTCTGTTCTGTTTTTTTTTTTTTTTTTT